GGCTCATTTAAGCCTCCACAATCCTTTTGCAGAAACTGAGGCTCAGAAATGGGACTGGAACCCCGATCTGACCCTGTATTTCATGCTCATCCCACTGTGTTGAGCTGCCCACGCTCTCTTCACCCCACCCTCAAAAAAAAAAATTAGTCATGTCTTTCCCAGCCTGTGGCCACAGGCTTTTGGGCATGGCTTTCTTGGGGAATGTCAGAACTGGTTTCAAGGCCTGCTCGTAGAGGGAGATAGAGCCATGTATTCCCACCGCTGACACGAGAACTGTCTCTTCCTGTCAAGGTCGAGGGTGCCTCCCACACCTAATCAACACAAGCCTTAACTGTCAGACCCTGAAGACAAGGCCGTGCCGCTGCTGTCCTTTCCTGCACGATGGTCACATGTCTGTGCCTTCCCATGGGTGGAGGACGCTGTCCATTGTCCTCCTCGACAGGCCTCCCTGCATCAGAAACAGAGGACAGCTCTCCCAGTGTCCATCACAGACAGCACTTCAGGCTGGGGACAAAGCCACGCTTTCCAGAAATGTCCACGCCGGTGATTTTTTTTTCCCCCTGCAAAATTGTATTCTAGCCACTTTGGATCCCTCCAGCAGCTCCCAGAACATCTGCGCAAGGCTGGACCGTTTCTCTAGGTTCTGAAGAACACCTGAATCTGAAGGCACCTCTTTCCCCACCACCTGAGGGCAGGCCTTTCTTAAAAGGACGTTGCTAAGAAAGGTAGCATTGTTCATCTCCTGCTGGAACCTTGGTCCAGGTCAGCACCCCTGGAGTGGATGTTTGGGCAAGCTTTTTCTCCCTTCTGTGAGATATTAGCAGTTCCAGTTTCAAAGCACACCCACCCTCCTCCTTTCAAGTCTTTGTCTTTCCAGTGGGTCTGTGCCCATCATGCAGTCCGGCATAGTTGTCCTGTTTCCTTGTACGTCTCCTTTGGTTACTTTTGAAGCTGATGAAGCAATAATTCAGCCCTTTTTCTTTAAATTTTGTTATGTTTGATGTTCAAGGACAGGAGGAGAGATGTGTGAATAGTTTGTTTGGAAGCATCCAATCACCTCAGGTTATCTTATCCCTATCCAAGCTTTTAAAAAATTGTTTGAATTGTCATCCTTGTATATATGTATCCCTGGCTTCTTCCATTTGAGCTCTGCTTTCTGTGGGGTGACCTTTGTCCCTTGGCCTCAAGGGTTATGGTGATGCCTCTGCCCCTCAAACACCAAACCTTCCCAGACAATCTCTCTCTTTCCCGGGTCTGTTCTGAACACCTCGGGGCTGCTGGCAAGGAGGAACCACCTCACATGGGCCTCAGAGCAGATGCATGCATGAGGGCTGCTTTTCTTTCTTTCCACCTCTTTGTTCTTCCTCCCCCAGCTCCCCTGGACCAGGTGCTGCTTTTAGTTGAAATGCAAGTAGGAAGGATCTTGCCGAAAGCCCCTCTCAAGGGGTGAGCCCCCCAGGCCAGGGCCTCTGAGCAGAGGTGCTGGATGCTTGACGATGAAGCAGAGGCTAGCCTTGCCTTTCAGTTCCTTGCTAGCTCTAAGCTCGTGCCCAGGAAACTCCAGGCCTCTGGGGCTCTCTGCTCTGCCCTTCTCTTTGGAAATACTGAACACCAGCCTTCTCCACCTCTTAGGTCCAAGCCTCTAGCAAACTCCCCAGGCATGCCTGGGTGACCCTTGTCATCCCTGTAGTTGCCATAACTCTGTGCCAACTTTGCCTGGGAGACCCCCGCAGAGGAGAAAGATACTTGTGCAGGTCACAGGGCAGCCCATGACTGCTGAGCAGCCTTGAGTCTGGATTTCCTAATGGATACATGTATAGCCCTGGCCAGATACGAATCTGTGGGGCACAGGCCCTTGACTTCTCAAGGGGAAAAGGTCTTTCTTGGTCAATTCCATTATTTACAAACGGTGTCAAAAATTGTCCACCTTCTCCCTGGCCACCTTTCCAATTCCCCATGTGTCTCCCAGATCTTCCTCCCTTTTCTCCTTGTGGGGTTGGGTGAGGGGTACATAGCAATCCCCCCTTTTTCCAGGTTAAGACAAACATCTGTGCCCTGGCAAGGGATTGTGTTTCAGCACCACGGACAGTAGCCATGGACCCGCCCACACTGAGTCCTATTGGCTGAACTTGGGCTGCAGATGGCAGCTGCCGGAGCCAGTCCCCGGTTCAGCCTTTTGCAACTGGCAGCCTCCTGACTCTTTGAAGCCTAAGTTAATCAACTCTAACTTTGTTTTTAAAGTTATAACCGTTGTGATGTGGTGGCTTTTCATCCCAAGTCCTTTTCTTGACTGCTGACTTTCCTTCAGATGGAAAGGGACCCTTGGTATCATCTCAGGAGGTGAAAAACGTCTTGCAGTGTTGAGCGAATTAAAGGCTCTCAATTCTTAATTAATGTTTAGTGTTAATGAATTCATGTCTCAGCCCAAATATACCTGACAGAAAAGAAAAGGGGGGAGGGGACACTTAAAAATGAAATTGGCCTGTGTCCCCTTTGCCTGACATCTTGATTGGAAATCATATCTACTTAATTCCTTGATGACTTGGTGATGCAAGGTCCAGCCCTTGAAATTGAGTAAGACATGCCCTGAAGATCCTGTTAGACTCCTTTTCTTTTTGGTATCTTGGTCTCCTGCAGACCCTCAGAGCAGACACATCACAGGGGCTCAGTAGTGACCCCCTTAATTCACTCTCCCCATGACCCCTGAACCCCACTCAGGCTCAGTGAAGTGAAGAGGCTGTGCCTGTGTCTGTGAGCCTCTGCGGGTGCTGGGCAACCATGCTGTTCATTTCTCCTCCTTCTAAACTGGATGAGCTTTTGGGGGCTGAGCAAAGGGTTGTTTGCTAATTCTGTGATTTGCCCAGAGCCCCCTTTGGAAATCCGTTTCCTTTGCAACTAATTAAATATGCCTTAATCATTTCTGTGCAATCAAGTCACCTGCCCCACCCCCCACTTCCTCCCCTGGGGCTTTGGTTCTCCTCAGAGGGAATCTTCCCAGAATGCAGTTCCCTAAACATGTACAATCCCCCTTTCTTCTCTTTGCACGTCAGCATTTTGACAGCTGCTCTTTTGATAAGTCTGTATCCTTTTCCCCTCCAGTAGGTCCCCTTCTTCATGGTCCCTTGCCTAATGAAACAGAGGCTGTTGGCCTGTGAAATTCCGTGGCAAGGCTTCAAAAAAAAAAAAAAAGCAAAACAAAACCCACAGGATTGTGGAGAATCACTCAGTGTTGCTAGAGGGAATCTATTCAAAGAGAAACCTCATGGGGTCTGGGATGTTGGGAGTTTCAGGTGATGGGGACCTGAACTTTCAGGCTGTCTTGGATTCAGGAGAGGAACAGTCAGGTGGGGATGGGGTGAAATGAGCCAAATCTGATGTTTTCAAACTGACCCTTGCTCCTTTGTGCGTCCTGGGGAGTGAGGCCACTTCAGGGTCTAGCTAAGGAGCAAGGAGAGAAAGGGACTTAAGCCTGAGTGCCTGACCATTAGAGGCCGAGTAAGGGATTAGGAAGAACTTTTAGTGGGATTTCCCCAAAGGAGATGTCAGCTGCTCCCAGCCAGTGTTGATAGCCTCCTTGTCCATTTATGCTTTGAAATTTTTCATCATGATGCCCCTAATTGTTCTGGGGACTAGGCATCGACACGAGCTAGAAACCCACAAGCTTGTCATTGGAGCACCTCCAAAACTTAGGGGTGGAGTCCTCAGGGAAGACGTGAGAAGAGGGCTTTTCTGAGGGAGAAGAAGGCATTCAGCCGGCCTCTCCGCCACCAGCTGCTGCTTTCCCTCCGTCCTGTGGGCCCACCTCAACGTGGGAAACCAGATTACAGCGGCCTTTGTGTGGATCAGCATTTCCGGTGAGCTCAGATGGAACCGTGGTGGCAGGAGAAAGGCTCTACGCATGCGGAAACCACTCCCCGCCCCCCGCCCCCGTTTAGAAGTTTAAGCCGTGGCAGGTCACTGTGCTGCCTGATGGAGCGTCATCCCGGACGCAGCCTCTGTATGGCCTCCCCCTACCTCCTCGCCTGATCCACCTTGTGTTAAAACCGGAAAGCAGGTCCCATAGCATCGTGAGTCCAGGGGCAGGAGGGGCAGGACCGAGATGGAGGGAGCGCGTGGAGTGGGGTCCCGAGCTCTGTGCTGAGCAGCTGCTGGGAGTCGCCCCACTGGGACTCAGGTTAGACCAAGGCTGGGACAGCACAGCACCATCTAGAGGTCAAGTTGGCTTGAAGGTGCTGGATCTTGGCCCGCCTGCGTCTCCTTTTGCCCACCCCCCCATCCTAAGGTGTCCTTTCTTTCATCTCTTAGTCCACGCCAGGGATGGGGGTGGGGGTCAGAGGCAGAAAGCTAGACTCCCTGCTCAGGAAAGTCAGTCTGAGGTTCCTGGCAGGTTCACCTGGGAGGCCGACCCCTCTCAGCCTCTCCCCTTTCACCTCCCAGGTCCCCTTTCTTCACTACGTCCTCTCCTCTCACCTCGTGCTATAACAGTTATGACTCAGAGCGGCACTTTCTTGACAATCTCTGCTGGCTTCGTACCTGCTGAAAATGATGTTATTATGAGAAGAAGAATTGGAGCTTCTTATTGATCTCATTCAACATCGCCTTATAGATCCTGTAAATAGGGGCTCACAAAAGTTTAATATATTGTGTCACGAGAGGTATTTTGTACTGTCTTGTTGCCTAAATCATATTGCTATTCGAGAAGTCACAGACTTCCCAATGATTATGAGCCTCAAAATGCTTTGTAGGATGGGGAAAGATCTGTATAAATATGGTATCTATTTTCCTAACCTTTCTTCGGGGTCCCTTCCTCGGATATCCGAGTCCCAACAGAAAGTGAGCTGGAGTTCAGTGTGTAGTGAAGTCCAGCATCTTAGCTGCCGGTGTTCTTGCAATTGCCTTATGAATTCACAAGCTCTAGACGTTCAGAGCAGGAGGCCGGGGAGCAGGGGCACTTTATCCAAGACCAGAGAGCACCTCTAGTCACGTGACTGACCACTCATCCAGAAAAACCTATATTTTTAATGTTGAAAAAGAAACGAGGCTTCCTGGACCTCACAGAGTATTGTACGTCTATAAGTACTTTTATATTTTATAACTGTAAAGAGGTTTCATATTCACAGAAGCGCAGTTGGACATCTGGTCGCCTGCATTAAAACGAGATGACCTTTGCATGTTCAAAGATGTTGCATTCAGACTGACTATGACAATAGCAAATAAAGCTTTGATGCAAGTTGCATTGGAGATGTTGGTGTGTCAGCGTGTGATGAATGGAGTCTCCCGTGTCTGCGGGCCCTGCCCCTCACTGACCAACTGGGTTGTATTGGTGTCTGTCTGAACCGTGACCTAGGAAGCAGGAAGGGCGCCTGAATGCTGGGGGAGGGTGCCTGGCCATCACAGGAGCTCAGGAAACCGGGCAGGATTTGAATCTTGGCCTCTCACTTTCTGGCTGTGGGATATCTCTGGATATTGGGTCTTCTGAGCTATCAAATGGGGGTGGTGCTGTTGACATGAGTGGGCAAATCTCAGTTTCCAAGGCTGTAAATCTTTATGGAAGTAGATTGCCTCGTCTTCATCCCACAGAGGAGCTGGTGGGTTTGAACTACTGACCTGGTTAGCAGCCAAATGCCTTACCCACTACGCCCCCAGAACCCCTTCCATAAAGATATACAGTCTTGGGAACTCTATGGGGCAGCTCTCCTGTCCAATAGGAGGGTCACTATGAGTTGGAACCAAGTGTGTGACAAGAAGTTTGGTTTGGTTTTGGCAGGATGCAGCCCCTTGGTTTGAATTGTGGATAATGGATAGGACCCTCAGGCGATAATAATAAAATGACAGACAATATGCCGAGTGCTTTGCTGTTGTCGTCTCTGTCATCTCTCAGGGACAAGTGGGGAGAAGGTTCTTCACTGGGGTGGGGGAGAGCCTGGGGTTCTGAGATCTTCAGCAGCCCTCAGAGTCACACAGGTCACCCTGATGCCAGAGTCCGGCTGTCACCTCCAATACCCTAGCTCCAGGGATGTGCCTTAATTGGGTTTTATGGTGACTTGAGAATAATAGCCAAAAACAACAATAACAAGACCTGGTTCAATCATTCATTCCTTTGCCCCTCATTTTATTTATTCATCCTGTAACTTAGTAAACACCTACAACAGGCAACCTTTTACTCTGATGGACGCTTTCATTAAAAAAACAAACAAAACGAAATCAGCCGTTCCTCACCACTTGTGGAATCTGTATACACAAACCCACCTAGTGTCTAAAAACAACTCACACCACGTAAGGGTGGATTCGAAGCATCCGCGTGTGTAGTCTGGCAAAAATTGCAGAGGTGTTTGTTTCTGTTGTCTGTCCCTCTTGGGCACCTCTGCGGGTCTTCCTTTTCCATAGTGATATTGTGCTCACTTTTGGGATATTGCCTTTCCTTTCAAAAATAAACACTTTCACATACAAAATTCTGCATTATCAGTAATAACAAACATTAATCTACAGGTCGACAGGCTGGAGGATCAGGTATGTGTAGGCAAAAGAGAATGTTTCCATGACCATGTATAAGTTTGGCAGATGATATTTCTACATAATTTGCATGTGCTGTAGGAATGTCCATATATACAATAGAGCTAATGGGGCAAAGTGATGGGAAATTGTTAGCCACAGCCAACCATCCTGAGAAAGCAAGAGATTGGGCCTGTGGGCTTGGGACTATGGTTACGGGGGACATCAAGCTCAATTGGCTACATAAAAACATTGTTTTATGTTTTACTACATAAAAACATTTACTACATTTTTACTACATAAAAACGTTTACTACATTTTTACTACTAAAAACATTGTTCTACATCCTACTCTGCTGAGTACCACCTGGTGTCTTAAAAGCTTGAAAGCGGCCATCGAAGATGTAACAATGGGCCTCTCCTTGTCCAGAGCAAAGAAGAATGAAGAAACCAAAGATGCATGGAAACAGTCCAAGGGACTGGTGGACCATGTGAACCTTAGCCTACACGACCCTGAGAGCAGAACTAGATGGTGCTTGGCTACCACTGTCAACCACTTGGAAAGGAATCAATGTAGGAGATTCTGGTTAGAGTGGGAGAAAAATGTGGAACCAAACTCAAAATCATAAAAAAAAAAAAAAAGACCAGGCTTACTAATTGTATAGAGACTGATGAAACCCCTAAGACTATGGCCCCTGGTCACACACTTCAGGCCCTGGAATTGAACTCACTCCTGTGACTTCCAGCCAAACAATACATAGGCATATAGGGCGAGTATTTACTCCAGGTAAGTACACTTCTTAGAAGAGTCAAGCATGGGAGGCCAGAAGGGCAGTATTTGCACAGGGACATAAATCAGGGAGCAGGAATGCATAGGAGAGAAGGACACAGGGAAGAGGTAACCACAAGGAGGAAGTGGGAAGAGAGCTGATACACTGTGGGGATTGCAGTCAGTCATGAAACAAAATGTGTATGAACTGCTGTGTGGAAAATGAATTTGCTCTGTAAGCTTTCACCCAGATCACACACACACACATACACACACACAAATTGCCCAAGGTGAGGTGGACCCAAAGCTGGTTTGCTGTTCGCTAATTCAGTATTCCCAGGAGGCTTTATAACTACCTCAGATAACTCGCACTGAATGTACCTTTTGGTGTCATAAGTAAGCTATCAGAATCACCTTCTAGGTGACCCTAGCTCAGGAAGGTCCCCTCCTCTTCTCTCCTGGGTGGCCTTGCATAAGTGACTTCATTGCTCTGAACTCCATTTTCCCCTCTACAAAGTGGAGATCAGAATTCTTCCCTGAAAAGGGTTGGTGGGATTCAACGGTGCTCGTGCAGTTGACATAACACCCTGCACTTAGTAGGTTTTCAGTAAATGGTAGCTGTTCTTGGTATTCACCTTCTATGTGAAGATACAGTAAAGCTTCACTCTATCTGATGAAACGTTCCATGGATGGATGGGACACCCAGTGGGTGGATTTTCACCCAGTTTGGAGGGTATGTTCAGGGTGACCTAACTTAAAATTTAGGCTGTGTGGCAGAGGGGAAATTCACTTGAAGAAGCAAGAGCTTTTCCAAGGGGATCGTACAAACTGGCAGAAAGATGGCTGCACCAAGAAACCAAGGGACAGGAATTGAGGGCCATTGGAGAGACCAGAGTCTTACAGCCTGATGCCCTCGCCCAGTCCTCTGGGGCTTTGCACCAAGTCCATAAGGTCCTTCCGTCTCAGGAAGTCATCAGAAGCTGTGGCCACAGAGACAGAGGCGTGGAGGCGCCCCTGTGGCCCTGCTATTGGGGTGAAATGGCCCAAACGGAATCGAGTAGACAAGGCGCTGTCTCAGCAGCCTGGGATGTGCTGGGCTGTCAGAAAGTGCTCATAAATAGGACCCTCCCGGCGAGTCAGGCCGCATCTGCTGAAGGTCCTGGCCTCTCTGTTGTCCTCCCCAAGGCCACAGCAACAGGTTCATTCCTGGAGGCTGGGGGGGCGGGGGGGACAAGAGCTGCCTTCATGGCTCTGGGCCTTGGTGGGTTCCATGGGACATGTGTAGCTAGCCCCTGCAAAAGCCGGAAGCAGTTGGGGGCTGGAGATGAGCAAGATGACCCGATGGCCAGCAGGCCCAGTCGGGGGTGGACGACCTGGGCGTCTGCACTGTTTGCATGTCAGAGGAGGGGCAGGGTCTGAGCCCTCAGACAGGAGCTTGGGGCAGGGGGCTTCTGAAGACTGGGCACATCTGAGAAAGGGAAGTGGGCAGAGTTGGGGGTCCCCCAGGTGCCCAGAGCCCCTCCATGAACCCTGTTTCCTACTGAGACTGGGCACAGACTGATGGATGGCCCGCAGGCTCCCCACCCCTGTGGAGATGTCTGCCCACCCCTGTGTGCGTTAGAGTACAGGGGCCTCGACTGTGTGGCCAGTGTGGGGACACTGGGAGCATGTGTGGGCAGTAGCTGGGTGCAGGCCATAGATGGGGTACTGTATGTACCACTGTGGAGGTCTGAAATAGGCAGGTGTCCCATTGTGAGAGAGACAGAGACCATCCTGTGTGCCTGTGGGGGGAATGTGACTTTGTGATGACCGTGGGAGCCCGTGGGAGTGTGTGTATGTGTGAATCTGTGTGTGAGCGTGTGTGAGACACAGAGACAGACGGAGAGAGAAGGAGACAAAAAGAGAAGGAAGCAGAGATACAGAGAGACTGTCCTGAGCCCGGGGTGGGATGTGACTCTGTACAAGGACCCACTGCAGCCCATGTGAGTGTGGGTGTGTTTGTGGGTGTGGAATGTGAGTGCATGTGTGTATGTGTAAGTGCATGTGTGAGTGTGTGTGAACACACATGTATGTGTGCACACACCCATGTGCATGTGGTGATAAACTGGAGAGCAGTTCTTTGCGTGTCTGTGTGTGACATTCGTGAGAATCCTACCCTGTGACTGCAGGGGCCTGTGCTGTGTGGCACTGTGCCTGTTAACGATGAAGGCATAACCGTCCGCCTGTGTCTGTGTCTCTTTAACTGGCTGGTATGCAGTAAGTGCTCAATCCATGCATATGGATGAATAACTGGATGCATGGAACTGGGCTGGGGCAGGTGTCTGAGGATCGGGTACGTGTCATGCTTTCTCAGCATGTCTGTCTGTCCCCCACCGGTCCATGGTCTCCTGGCTCATCCTGTCACCGAGCACGGGCCTGGCCCTGAGTAGGCACTCGTGAAATGTTCACTGAATGAAGTGAGAGAACAGACTGTCGTCTGGAGGGTGAAGGTGGGAGGGCCCCCAGAGAGGAGCCCCCAGATGCCTTGGGCCTGTTCTCTGCACTAAAGCTCCAAGGCCATGATGGGGGGTGGGGCGGAGCAGCCAGGTGTGGATGAAAGGGCATGGGCTCAGGAGCCACGTCCCATGCCTGCATTTCCTCCCTGTGTGCCTCACTGGGCCTTGGTGGGATCCTCTCCCACTCCTTGTCCCCGCTCCATGGCCCACCGTGGTGGATGCTCAGTGGACATTTGTTGAATGACTGACTGAAGACTGATGGAGGTTGTTTGGCCTGAGTGTGTCCCATACTCACCCCCAACTCTGATCACATCAACACCTGGTTTCTCCCGGGAGGACCTGGTGACCGTTTTCCATTGGTTTGAAGCCGGAGGTGTCCCATGGAGATGGCAGAGCAGCACGGGATGCTGGAGCAGGCTGCAGCTGGCAAGAGCCACGGAGGCCTTAGCAGCGGCTACAAGGTACTGGGAAGGAGGGAATCCGGAGGCCCCAGGTTCAAGGCCACGCCCAGGCCTCAGAGTGCAGCGCCCCTCCAGAAAGGGAGCAGCAGCCCTCCCTCCATTTCTCTGCTCTCAACCTGCTTCCTTGCCTCTCCCCTCTTCTCTGTCCTCGTCTGCTGCTCTCTCTCTGTCTCCATAAGGTCACAGTGAGTGCCACAGAACTTGGCTTTAAGCTCTAACGCCGCGGCCTGAGCACAGCCCAGGCTCCTGGCTTTTCTGGACCTAACAGCTCCACCTTTTTTTTTTTTCAGTTTTATTGTGATTTGGGTGAAAGTTTACAGAGAGTAGTGCCTAAGGCATTTGACTGCTAACCAGAAGGCTGGCGGTTCAAACCCACCAGCCACTGCTGGGAAGGAAGGTTGGGCAATCTACTTCTGTAGAGATACTGCCTTGGAAACCCAAGGAGGGGGCACTGTGAGTCAGATCTGACTCGATGGCAGTGAGTGATCTTCCCAGGGGCCTTAATTTGAGATGGGGTGAGCAGATGGGATGACTGAGGGAACAAATGGGCCATTCTGAGGAGATTTTAGGCCTTTGCTGAGCATGGAGGAGTCCAGGAAGGAGGCTGAGGAGAAGCGGAGCACAGAGGCTCATGGGAACAGTGCAGGGCTGGTCCAGTGACTTCTAAGGGCCTTGAAGCTCTGAAACACCAGTATTGGCAAATTCCAGGAGTCACTGTCCACTGAGAAGGTGGATGGCCCTGCCATCCCTTCCTGCCTCCCTTTGTCACCCGTGAGCTGTTCCTCACCCATGCCAGTGGGGGAGAGAAAACAGAGGATTTAAGTGTGGCTCCGGGGCCTCCACCTATCTCGCTGTGCAGCTCCAGGCAAGTGGCTTACCCTCTCTGAGCCTGTCTTACCCCTTCTGTAAAATGACCAGAGCAAAGTCCTCCAGGGACTTCCAGGGACATTTGTGTTTCCAGGCAGGTGAGGGAGGGATAACCTTGGTCTGCCTTTGCAAAACATCTTGCTCCCCGGGAATGGGGCAGGCCAAGGCATAACCCCAGAGGTGGCAAACTGGTGTTTCGTTTATCCTGTGTAGGGTTTTGAAACAGGGGAAATTTCACATTAAGGAAAATATGTATTTCTGGCAAGTTTGGAACTAGGCCCACATTCTCTCATGGATTTTATTTCCCTACAATTCTCTCTTGAGTCACTTCATTCTGTTAGATTCTCCCACTGGCCCCGCCTGCAGTTACCTCCTTTTGCCATCCCTGGTTTAATTCATTGAGATTCCTGGAGGCGTTTCCCACTGCAGCCACTAGGGGGCAGTGCAGGCTTGCGGTGATGCTGGCTCCAGTCTGGTACCACGCCGAGCATGTGGAGCAGCTGGTACCGCTAATACCTCGTAAGCGGTGGGTTTGGAAGCCGGCCCGGTTGGGATGCTGAGGGTACTTTCCTTCCAGGTGATCCTGTATGAGCTGGAGAACTTCCAGGGCAAGCGGTGTGAGCTCTCGGCGGAGTGTTCCAACGTGACTGACAGCCTACTGGAGAAGGTGGGCTCCATCCGGGTGGAGTCGGGGCCGTGAGTACCAGATCCCCATCCCCTCCTCATACCCTGAGCCTTGTGAGAGTCAGAGATCCGTGTAGGAACCTTAAACCTGTTGTAGGGCCTTGGGCAACTCCCTTCCCCTCTCTGGCCTCAGTTTCCCCATCTGTGAAATAAGAGAAAGCCCCCAAAACCAAACTCACTGTCACTGAGTCAATTCTGACCCATGGTGACCCCCATTGGGTTTCCAAGGCAGTAAATCTTTACGGGAGTGCCCCATCTTCCTTCTGCAGAGCAGTTTGAACTGGCAGCCTCTGGTTAGCAGTCAAGTGCCTTAGACGCTGTGCTACCAAAGCCCCTTTGAAAGAAGAGTATTGAATGCAATTCTCTACCAAGCCTTCCGGCCCTGCGTTTCTAGGATAAATAGCAGGGTTTAGTGGAAAGAGACCAGAGACAGACAACCCAACACCTATCTCAGTGCCTGATGAGTGGGAGTCAGTCGTGCTAATTTGAATAACAATTACAACAGCTACAATGGACTGGATTGTATGCTTAACACATACAGTATCTCTGCAGCCTCCCAACAGCGCTAGGACAGAGTAACATTCTTATTATCCCCATTCTACAGATGAGGAAACTGAGGCCCAAGTGGTTAAGTGTCCTCTCTGTGACCACACAGTGAGTAGGTGGCCCACTGGGCTCTGAATTCTCACCTTTGGATGGAAAGTCTGGGCTCTGGCACTAACCATCCACGTGATCTTGGACAAGTTGCTTCCTCACCTGAGCCTCTGTTTTCCCCTCTGTCAAACGGGGATAATAATAGTGGCTAGCTCGGAGCGAGCTTTTGTGAAAATGAATGGACTGATGCGTCTAGGTATACCAGTATAGTAATCACGTAATTAAAGGGGGTGGCTTACTTACTGGGGGCCAGGCATTGTGCTGAGGACTTTTCTGAGTGCCCTCCCCCAGAGGCTAGACATAAAACGGATTTTCAGTAACGTTTCCCAGGCTGCTCTCCCGACCCAGAGTCGGAGACAGTTCCCGAGACATCCTATTAGCTCCTCCAACAATAGGCCCAGGAATCAGTAGTAGGGTTGGAGGGAGGGTGCAAGGTCAAAGGTCATCAGCTCTTGGACCCTGCCCACGCTAGACTTGAGTCCTCCCTCAGCTATGCAGGGGGGACCCAGGCCTCTTTCCTCCCACAGGTGGCTGGCATTCGAATGCAGGGCCTTCCGCGGGGAGCAGTTTGTCCTGGAGAAGGGAGATTACCCTCGCTGGGATGCCTGGTCCAACAGCCACCACAGTGACAGCCTCCTGTCCCTCCGACCTCTGCACATTGTGAGTACGGCTCCTGCCCCCTTCTAGGGGCTCCCACACGCAGGGCATGCTGGGAGCAGTTCAGGCCAGCCATTTCACAAGGTCTGTTGAGAGCTTGGCTGGCGTGGACCTAATCTGGGGAGGACCCTAGTTTTTCTTTCCTAAATGATTGTTTCAGGACAAGAAAAAGTTGATTAAGAATGGACATTGGCTAGGGGTCAGGCCTCCAAGGTTCATATCATGAATTAACCACCATGATACTGAGACGCCCCTTTGTAACTTTGTAACCCTACTAAAATCATGAGCCATGTGGTCTAGTCTCAGATCAGTTGTAAAAAAATACAGCCCAGAAAGTAACTTCAGAAGCTAAGCAAAAAGTTAACTACAGGATGGGTCAAGTTCACTTGCATTCCTCAAACACCCGGGAGAGACACAGTCCGCAGTGACACTTCACGTGTCTCTCTTCTCTCCCACCCATACTCCCACTTTCTCCTCCTCCCAACACAGTATCTGACTCCTCCTTAGGGAGGGGAAGCTGGGAGGATGAAATCAGAATCCACCTCAGTAACTAGCGAACCCTCACCGTTCAGCAACCTTGGTCCCCGGCCTCCCTCTCTGAGCTGCGGTTTCCCTGTCTGTAATGATGGGCTTCAACAAGACCTGAAAAGCCTCCTCTTGGGTTGTGCCCTGTGGCTCGCAGGTGCCTGAGTAACTGAGTCTCTTGAGTTCCTGTTCCCTCAGGCAGAGTTTTTTTTGTGTGTGGTGACTTGTTGACTGTTTCCTGATTTAGGAGCCTTCCTGAGCCCTGTTCTGGGTTTGGGACAGCCAGCTCACCCCCTGCTCTTGCCCCCAGGATGGTCCGGACCACAAGCTGCATCTGTTTGAGAACCCATCGTTCAGTGGCCGCAGGATGGAGATAGTGGATGATGATGTTCCCAGCCTGTGGGCTCATGGCTTCCAGGACCGCGTGGCAAGCATCCGTGCCATCAGTGGGACGTAAGGGACCCCATTCCTGACCCTTGCTCCTGCCTCTCCCTCTGATTGGCTATGCCCTGGCTCCTGACAGAGTCACTATGGGAGGATTCTTTCATGATTGACATTCCTTTTATCATTTATCTATCTATCTATCTATCTATCTATCATCTCTATCTATATCTATAATTTATTTTGATGTTTGACAGCCCTTGCTCCTCCATCCATCTCTGTCTCCCTCTAGAGTCCCCAGATGTGACTGTCCAATTGCTTGCATTCCTGGACCGTTGGGATTTCCAGGCAGCCTTGACTCATAATTTTATCTTTTTTTTTAGCAAATGAATTTTGTTTAACTCCCCCTTTGTGACTTCAGTCTTTACTCCTTTTCTGAACGTATCTGGGTCCTTAAGCTGATTCTTCACATTTTTTTCTCCACTCACTGTCCTGATCCTTCTTACCAGGGATTCCAAAATGTATGTAATTCTCTACATGTGGCCTGAGTAGAACATAGGAGTATAGGTTTATCACCTCCCTCTTTCTAGGCTTTATACCACTGTTAATGTGACCTTAGGATTATCTTTCCTTTTTTTCAGTGACTGTATTTCACTTGTGGACTTGTGATCTGGGACTGGGCCTTGAGAGTTGCCACCTCTCCCTGAAAATAACTCATTCAACAACTTTTTACTGTGCATCTACTATGTACAAGATATGAGGATACAGGGTGCGGGTGGGGATTCAGAACTACACAGCCTCAAGAATTTCACAGTGTGATAGAGAGACAGACAAGGGAATAGGTATTCACAGTTCTTTGTGAAAGCACTTGACACAGCCTAAGGGAGTTGGGAAGGCTTCCTGGAGGAGGAGACATCTGAACTGAGGCAGAAAATGTGAGAGTGAAAGAGGGGGAGGGGTAAAGATGAGGCAAGGAAAAGTGTTTCAGGTAGAAGGAACAGCACATGCAAAGGCTCAGAGACACAGCAGTTTCAAGGAAAGCAGGATGAGATGAGGCTTTCGTGAAGGGCCATGTGAGGACAGTAAGGCATTTGAATCCAGGCTGAGGGCACTGGGGAACCAAGGAGGACTCCTAGGGGAGAGAGCATGGTTAGATGCTAGCTTTAAAAAGCTCAGTCTGGTTGAAGGTGAGGGGATGGGAGACAGGCTGTCACTCTTCCTCAACCCTGATCCCCCCCGTAGGTGGGTCGGCTATGAGTTCCCAGGCTACCGCGGACACCAGTACGTGCTCGAGCGGGGAGAGTACCGGCACTGGAACGACTGGGAGGCCAGCCAGCCGCAGCTGCAGTCCGTGCGCCGCATCCGCGACCAGAAGTGGCACAAGCGGGGCTGCTTCCTTAGCAGCTGAAGGGTGCCTGGGCCCCGGCGGCCCCACCTGCCCTCCCTGGGGGCAGCAGGGGCAAGAAGAGGGGCTCCAGTGCTGGGCGAGAGTCTGCCTCTCCATGCTTCCCCGGAAGCCTCTCAATAAAGCCCGGGGTTGGTCCCCCACCTGCTATGGCACGCTGACTCACTTCACTTCCTTATGGGGTGCACAGGCTAAAGGGAGAGGGGCGTGGAGGCTCTAAGACCCCAGAGAAAGGGCTGAGAGGTGTGCTCATACCCAAGGCTCTAGTCCTTTCAGGTGGGACCACACGCTCCTCCTGCCCTAATCTTGTCCACCTGTCTTTCTCTCCATCTGAATATCTGTCAGTCCTTCCATCTGTGAGTCTACCTACCCATCCATTCATTGACCCTTCCTTCCTTCTTTCCTTTCTTCCAACCACTTATCTGTCCATCCATCCTTCCATCAGTTCTTCCTTCTATTTATTCTCTCATTGATCCATCCACCACCCGTCCATCCATCCATCCTTCCATCCATCCATCCATCCATCCATCCAACCTTTCATTCATCCATCCATCCATCCATCCATTCTTCTGTTTATTCTCCCAGTTACCCATCTATCCTACATCGCCTATCCATTCATCCACCCACCCACCCACCCATCCATCTGTCCATCCATATGTACATACATACAACTACCCATCCATATATCCATCCTTCTATCCACCCATCTAGCTTTCTTCCATCCATAAATATCCAACATTTCCCCTTTCTGTCTATCCATCTGCCAGTCTCTGTTTTCATTAATTAATTTGGCAAATGTCAGCCCTGTTCGAGGTCTGAGGTCACAGCAGTGAACAAACAAACCTGTCCTTCATGGAGCTCTCCTTCTAGGGGGGAGGGGACAGAAAATGAACAGACAAGTAGACATTGGATATGCCCAGAAGTGGGAAGTGCTAAGAACACTGAAGTGGGGAAGAGGATGGAGGTAATGGGAACTGGGACCCAAATAAACTGAGAATATCCAGGCAGAGAGTAGCAGGTGCAAAGGCCCTGAGGCAGGAGTGTGCTTGGATGATGGAGAAACAGCCGGAAGTCCCGGAGGCTGGGCTGGAGTGAGTGCGAGGCAGAGGATGGTAGGGGAGGGAGAGGGCCAATCACTAGGGTTTCAGAGACTCTGCAAGACTGAGTCTTCTCATGGGAGGAGGGAGCCATGGGAGCTTGAGAGGGAGAGACATGGCCTGATTTAGGGTTACATAGAATTATTCTGGTCTCAGAACAGGACTGGGATAAATAATAGAGGCAAAGACTAGAAAATATGCTTTAATCACATATCTCATTTTTCTGTGTTGAAACCTTTATATAAAGTAATAGCAGTTTCTATTAATATAATAATAAAATTATTAAGGAGTAATCACTCTGGCTATGGTGCAGAGAATAGATGGGGCCGGGGGGAGCAGGGAGACCACTGGGGGGCTATTGCAGTGATCCAGGGGACCCTCTGGGCCTCTCTTCCACGCGTCAGTGTCTGGTCCCTCGTCTAGCTCCTCCGCAGCCTCCCCTCTTCCTCCCACCCCTGACCTCACTGCTCTGAGCCCCTGTGGCTTCCTCTGGACCGTGGGAGCTGCTGGGGAGAAAAAGGGCCGCGAGGCAGTGCCGGGCGCGACCGGAGGCCCCTCCGTCCAGCTGACGGCTGGCTTCCCACAACACACGGGCTGGCGACCAGCCCCACCCGCCCGCATCCACGGGCCAACCCGGCACTGTTGCCCTGGTGGCTCAACAGTGAAATGCTCAGCTGCTGACCGAAAAGTGGTAGGTTCGAACCCACTCAGAGGCTCTGCAGGAGACAGACCGAGTGATCTGCTTTGATGAAGATTACAACCTAGAAAGCCCCGTGGGGCAGCTCTGTGTCACACGCAATCACTGGAAGTGGGAGTTGACTCGACAGCACCTAACGACAGCAACATCCCAGAGCCCACCTCGGCCCCCTGCAGCCTCCGGGCCGCTGAGGCAGCTGGTGTGTGCGGCAGTTCAACCTGCATATTAAAAACAAAACACATGCATACTCAAGAAATCACCTTGACTTATTTTCACTTTGATGGGTAGTGTGCCTAAGGCATCTGACTGCTAACCAGAAGGCTGGCGGTTCAAACCCACCAGCCACTCCTCAGAAGGAAGGTTCGGCAATCTACCTCCGTAGTGACACCACCTCGGAAACCCAAGGAGGGGTCGCTATGAGTCGGATCCGACTCAACGGCACTGAGTTTGGTTTTTTGCTTTTAGGGTCGACCCACAGACTTTCAGCCAATGCTGCTCCCTCCAGGACACGCCCCTCCTTCCTCTCCAGGGAGAGGCCTTGTTCTGTTTATAAACTGGTGCTCACTGAATGCCAGGCTGGTACAAAGAGCGTTTCAATTGCTTTTCATTTATTTATTTATTGTCGATGAGAATCTGCACAGACAAACGTGGCAGCAGATTCTTCAAGGACAGTTCAATGGAATGGATGACATTCTGCCGGTTCGCAGCCATTGTCACCCTCCTCAGTTAACATACCTCACTGCCCCTAAGGTTCCTACCTCGTCTTTCAAGCTGCTGTTGTCACTTTGCTCCCATCTAAGATTGTTCTTAAAAGAGCATCACGTTCAAGGTGGACTTTTTTTTTTTACTAGTTAAGCTAAACTATTGTTTGCTTTTAAGAAGACTGCAGGAGATAGTCTTGGTTTAAGGTTTAAAGCTTATCTCAGGGGTTTCAGAGGTTCATCCAGCCTTCATGGCTCCAGAAAGTCTGGATTCCATGAGAATCGTCAGTCAATTGCCCCAAGTGCCACAGCAGATACGTGTTAGGACTGAGACTCAAGTTCAGGTCTGGCTCCAAGCCCGTCAGACTCCTCTCGTTGGCTGTTGATGCTCTGGCCAGCCAATCTGCTGCCGCTGCTGTGGTTGCTAATGGTGTTGGAGTGACAAAGGCTATGGCTTATTGAGTCTGTCCCCTGTTGTGGGCCGGGGCTCAGGGCTCCCTGTGAAAGGGAAGAGGGGCACCAGGCCCAAGGCCATCATGTGAGCAACTTGTGTCAGGGAAGGCCTGTGTTAACAGTGACTTACTGCTGGGCTCCTGTGCCCTCTCTCTGGGGCCAGGCTCCATCCCAGGGTTTGGAGACAGGGTGACCTTGGAGGAGGAGTCTTAAGAAGGAAGAGTAGTGTCCTGAGATGGAAATGCTGTGTCTCAAAGAGGCGAAAACCCTTGGACTTGACTATCTCAGAGGCTCCTTCCAGCTCTGGTCTCTTCTTTCCATGGGAGCAGGGGATGAGGTAGAGAGGAGACCCCCAACCCCCTCTCGCTATGTATCTGTCCAGCTATGCTGCAGTAACAAATAGCCACATGTTATCAGAAGAGGGACTCAGGTCGACAGACAGTGCCACCACAGGGTTGGTGTGTCACTCAGTGTAACTGGTGGTGGCCAGTGGAATCCCTTCCCTACAGGCAGAGGGCCCAGCCCTGCACTGGCCCCGCCCCGTTCCCCCTCCCCACCCAGGGCTGAGGGCTTTGAGGCTCCGCCCTCTGCAGCTTCCCACAGCTCCTCTCCGCTCCCGTTTGCCAAGGTGAGACCCTCCCCTCCTCCCAATGACAGTGCTGTAACCCACCTGCCCACATCCTGACTGGTGGGTGATGGGGAAGGGGGACAAGTGACCACACTGGGCGACAGAGAAGGCATGGAGGGCGTGATGTGGTACCACTCTGGGTGATGGTTGATACCCATCCTAGTGACGTCACTGCCTTGGCAGCCCCTCCCCCGCCCTACCGTCTGCCCTACATGCAGCCACAACTGCTGCAGATCTTGAGGTCGTTTTGATGTCATCCCTTCTGACAGTGTGAGGGAGTGTGGTCCAGCCCCTGAATCCCTTTAGTGATGCCACTGCTGACAGAGGTCCCACCGCCTTATAACACTGCCGTCGCAGGACGAAGGATGAGAAGAGAACACTGGGAAGTCAATGAAATATCGCGACCCAGAAATTATACCTGTTGCATCTACTTGGCATCCATTGGCTGGGACGAGTCACATGACCCCACCTAATTTGAAGAAGATTGGGAGGGACCTGCTTGCTGACAGGCTGTACTGGTTGCCTTTCCTCCCCTGTCTCACTTCCCTGCTCCCTACTGATGCTTCCTGGGATCGCCTCCCGATTAAACTACTTGCACTTGAACATCTTGTCTGAAGGTCTGCTGCTGGTGGAGTCCAAACAAAGACACCCTTGTTCATCTCTTACTCACGAATTAATCTAGTCAGTCACCGTGAGCACTTACTATGTGTTAGATACAGAGACGACAGAGCCTGTCCCAGCTCATTGTCTCATTGATGAAGGACCTGGTCCTGTCACCCCAGAAACTGAAGTGCTACCTGCACACCAAGGTCCATCACAGCCCTTTACACAATAGCCAAAAGGTGGAGACAACCAAAATGTCCCCAACATGTGACTAGATTAGTGAGATGTGGTACCTACACACCATGGAATATTACTCAGCCGTGAAGAGGAATGAAGTCCTGATGCATGTCACAACAGGGATGAATCTTGAAAACATCATGCTGACCAAAATAAGTCAGTCACAAAGGGACAAATAATGTATGATCCACTTATATGAAATAAGCAAATACGTAGAAACCAAAGATTACCAGTGATTCCCAGGGAGGTTTTGTTTCAGGAGTATTGAGTTGGTGTCACTAGTGGTAGAATGATTAGGAGGAGAAGGATAGAAAGAATGGTGGCACAGCATGAAAAATGCCATTGATGTCACTGAATTATGGTTGTTGTTAGGTGCCATCGAGTAGTTTCCGACTCATAGAGACCCCATGCACAGCAGAACGAAACACCACCGGGTCCTGAGGCAGTTCCATGATCCTTGCTATATTTGAGCCCATCGTTGCAGCCACCATGTCAGTCCATCTCATTGAAGGCCTTCCCCTCTTTCGTCGACCCTCCACCTTACCAAGCATGACATCCTTCTCCAGAGAATGGTCCCTTCTGACAACATGA